GTGAGGACCAGCCAACGAGAGCGTACAGGTCACAGTGGTGAGTAGTATATGGGGCTTTGGTGACAAAACGGATGGCACTGTGAAAGACTACATCCAATTTGCTGAGTAGAGTGTTGGAGGCTATTTTGTAAATGACATCGCCGAAGTCAAGGATCGGTAGGATAGTCAGTTTTACGAGGGCATGTTTGGCAGCATGAGTGAAGGAGGCTTTGTTGCGAAATAGGAAGCCAATTCTAGATTTAACTTTGGATTGGAGATGCTTAATGTGAGTCTGTAAGGAGAGTTTACAGTCTAACCAGACACCTAGGTAATTGTAGTTGTCCACATACTCTAGGTCAGACCCGTCGAGAGTAGTGATTCTAGTCGGGTGGGCGGGTGCCAGCAGCATTCGATTGAAGAGCATGCATTTAGTTTTACTAGTGTTTAAGAGCAGTTGGAGGCTACGGAAGCAGTGTTGTATGGCATTGAAGCTCGTTTGGAGGTTTGTTAACATAGTGTCCAATGAAGGGCCAGATGTATACAAAATGGTGTCGTCTGCGTAGAGGTGGATCTGAGAGTCACCAGCAGCAAGAGCGACATCATTGATATACACAGAGAAAAGAGTCGGCCCAAGAATTGAACCCTGTGGCACCCCCATAGAGACTGCCATAGGTCCAGACAACAGGCCCTCCGATTTGACACATTGAACTCTATCTGAGAAGTAGTTGGTGAACCAGGCGAGGCAGTCATTTGAGAAACCAAGGCTATTTAGTCTGCCAATAAGAATGCGGTGGTTGACAGAGTCGAAAGCCTTGGCCAGGTCGATGAAGACGGCTGCACAGTACTGTCTATTATCGATCGCGGTTATAATATAGTTTAGGACCTTGAGCGTGGCTGAGGTGCACCCATGACCAGCTCGGAAACCGGATTGCATAGCGGAGAAGGTACGATGGGATTCGAAATGGTCGGTGATCTGTTAACTTGGCTTTCAAAAAAATTCAAAAGGCAGGGCAGGATGGATATAGGTCTGTAACAGTTTGGATCTAGAGTGTCACCCCCTTTGAAGAGGGGGATGACCGCGGCAGCTTTCCAATCTCTGGGGACCTCAGACGTTACGAAAGAGAGGTTGAACAGGCTAGTAATACGGGTTGTGACACTTTCGGCGGCTAATTTGAGAAAGAAAGGGTCCAGATTGTCTAGCCCAGATGATTTGTAGGGGTCCAGATTTTGCAGCTCTTTCAGAACATCAGCTGTCTGAATTTGTGTGAAGGAGAAGCGGGCAAGTTGCAGTGGAGGGTGCAGAGCTGGTGGCCGGGGTAGTGGTAGCCAGGTGGAAAGCATGGCCAGCCGTAGCAAAATGCTTGTTGCAATTCTCGATTATTGTAGATTTATTGGTGGTGATAGTGTTTCCTAGCCTCAGTGCAGTGGGCAGCTGGGAGGAGGTGCTCTTATTTTCCATGGACTTTACAGTGTCCCAAAACTTTTTGGAGTTAGTGCTACAGGATGCAAATTTCTGTTTGAACAAGCTAGCCTTTGCTTTCCTAACTGCTTGTGTATATTGGTTCCTAACTTCCCTGAAAAGTTGCATATCGCGGGGGCTATTCGATGAGAGACTTATTTCTGGAAAGGTGGATTTTTAGAAGTAGAAGCTCACAACTGTTTGGGCACAGACCTGGATAGTATGATAGAGCTCTGCAGGCTATCTCTACAGTAGATTGCAACTCCACCCCCTTTGGCAGTTCTATCTAGATGGAAAATGTTGTAGTTGGGGATGGAAATTTCAGAATTTTTGGTGGCCTTCCTAAGCCAGGATTCAGACACTGCTAGAACATCAGGGTTGGCGGAGTGTGCTAACACAGTGAATAACTCAAACTTAGGAAGGAGGCTTCTGATGTTAACGTGCAGAAAACCAAGGCTTTTACGGTTACAGAAGTCAACAAATGATAGCTCCTGGGGAGTAGGAGTGATACTGGGGGCTGCAGGGCCTGGGTTAGCCTCTACATCACCAGAGGAACAGAGGAGGACTAGAATAAGGATACGGCTAAAGGCTTTAAGAACTGGTCTTCTAGTGCGTTGGGTACAGAGAATAAAGGGGGTAGATTTCCGGGCGTTGTAGAATAGAATCAGGGCATTATGTACAGACAAGGATATGGAAGGATATGAGTACAGTGGAGCACGGCGCTTGTAATGCCAAGGTAGTGGGTTCGATCCCCGGGGCCACCCATACACACACCAACAAAAAAAAATGTATGCACGCATGACTGTAAGTCGCTTTGGATAAAAGCGTCTGCTAAATGGCATATTATTTATATTATTTAGGTAAACCTAAGCGTTGGGTAACAATGAAAGAGATAGCATCACTGAAGGCACCGATTGAGCCGGTCTCGGCGTGTATGGGGTGTGGAACAAAGGAGCTATTTGAGGCAGTTTGAGAGGGACTTGGGGTTCTACAATGAAATTGTATAATAAGAACTAACTGGAACAGCAATAGGCAAGGCATATTGACATGGGAGAGAGGCATAAAGCAATCACAGGTGTTATTAGAGAGAGCTAAGACAACAACTGGTAATGGCGATAAAGTTTGGGCTGAGGCTAAACAGATAAACAGGACAGGGTACCGTGTAAAGGAACAGTCCAGCATGCATCAGCTGTGCAGCTGAGTGATCATAAGGTCCAGTGAACAGCAATATGTGAGTCTGAGAGCAGTTCGAATTGGAGCTACAGCACAGCGAGCAGGAAGCACGGCTGTTGTTTGCGTGTGCTAGCGGGCCGGGGCTAGCAGATGGACATTCGTGGTCGTCGCAACGGGAAGCCTGTTGGAATCACAGACGATTACGTTGGCAGACCAGTCGTGATGGATCGGCAGGGCTCCGTGTCGACTCTAGGAGGTCCCGTCCGGTTGACAGAGAGGTAGATAGCCAGGAGATGTGCCTGACTCAAGGCTAGCTCAAGGCTGATTAGCCAACAACAACGTTCATTTGGTTGCAGCTAGCTAGTTGTGACTATCCAGTGCTAAAGGTCCAGTGAGTCAATGATTCCAGCAGAAAATCTGATAGGTTCTGGGTCGATAACGTGCTGTGCAGACAGTGCAGACTGGCCGATAATATTCCAGCCTAGAGCTGGCTGGTAGGTAGTGCAGGCCACGGACAATGGTGAAAAACCGCTAACGGTGGCTAATAGCAAGTAGGTAGTAAGCTGGTTAGCTGGCTACTCCCGTTCGGTAGACAGAGGGGTAGATTCAGTTATTCCGGCAGAAAATCCAACTTTCTGGGTGAAAACCACTAACGGTGGCTAATAGCAAGTAGCTTCAACTGGAGATTCTAGATAAAGGTGAGTAAATAATAGAATCCGTTCCACATTGAGTGAGGCGGGTTGCAGAAAAGTATATTTAGTAGAAGGATGAAAAGTGTGATAGGGAAATATATACGTAAAATACAAAAAATACAACAAAACAGGCTATTTACATGGGCACACAAGAGAACACGACCGCACTGCTACGACATCTTGGATTCAGTGGATGGGCACTTCTAATGTAAATCTAGGGCAGCACCCAAGGGGCTTGAATTTTCGAGCTCTCCCCGTAGATTTTTAGATGAGGTTTTGTCCCATGAGTGACATGAGTGGAATTCTCTCAACCAGCTTCATGAGGTAGTCACCTGGAATGCATTTCAATTAACAGGTGTGCCTTCTTAAAAGTTAATTTGTGGAATTTCTTTCCTTCTTAATGCATTTGAGCCAATCAGTTGTGTTGTGACAAGGTAGGGGGGGTATACAGAAGATAGCCCTATTTGGTAAAAGACCATATTATGGCAAGAACAGCTCAAATAAGCAAAGAGAAATTACAGTCCATCATTACTTTAAGATAAGAAGGTCAGTCAATACGGAAAATGTCAAGAACTTTGAAATACCATCAAGCGCTATGATGAAACTGGCTATCATGAGGACCGCCACAGGAATGGAAGACTCAGAGTTCATTAGAGTTACCAGCCTCAGTAATTGCAGCCCAAATAAATGCTTCACGGAGTTCAAGTAACAGACACATCTCAACATCAACTGTTCAGGGGAGACTGTGTGAATCAGGCCTTCATGGTCGAATTGCTGCAAAGAAACCACTACCAAAGGACACCAATAAGAAGAAGAGACTTGCTTGGGCCAAGACACACGATTAATGGACATTAGACCGGTGGAAATGTGTCCTTTGGTCTGGAGTCCAAATTGGAGATTTTTGTTTCCAACCGCCGTGTCTTTGTGAGACGCGGTGTGGGTGAATGGATGATCTCCGCATGTGTATTTCCCACCATATAGCATGGAGGAGGAGATGTTATGGTGTGGGGGTGCTTTGCTGGTGAAACTGTCTATGATTTATTTAGAATTCAAGTCACACTTAACTAGCATGGTTACCACAGCATTATGCAGCGATACACCATCCCATCTGGTTTTAGCTTAGTGGGACTATCATTTGTTTTTCAACAGGACAATGACCCAACACACCTCCAGGCTGTGTAAAGGCTATTTGACCAAGAATGAGAGTGATGGAGTGCTATATCAGATGACCTGGTCTCCACAATCCCCCCACCTCAACCAAATTGAGATGGTTTGGGATGAGTCGGACCGCAGAGTGAAGGAAAAGCAGCCAACAAGTGCTCAGCATATGTGGAAACTCCTTCAAGACTGTTAGAAAAGCATTCAAGTTGAAGCTGGTTTAAAGAATGGCAAGAGTGTGCAAAGCTGTCATCAAGGCAAAGGGTGGCTATTTGAAGAATCTCAAATCTCAAATATATTTTGATTTGTTTAACACGTTTTTGGTTACTACATGATTCCATATGTGTTATTTCATAGTTGTGATGTCTTCACTATTATTCTACAATGTAGAGAATAGTAAAAATAAAGAAAAATCCAAGAATGAGTAGATGTTCTAAAACTTTTGACCGTTATTGTGTGTTAAATTCATCTGTATGTTAAATTGTCCGTTTGTAAAATGAGTTAGAGAGTTTTGTTAACCTTTGACCGTTAAAATACTTTTTCAGCATTTCTGTCTCCTTCTGTAGCTGGTCTCTCTCTTTCATCAGGGTGTTATAACTGGTCTGTAGCTGGTGTCTCTCTTTAGTCAGGGTGTTATAACTAGTCTGTAGCTGGTGTCTCTCTTTAGTCAATAGGTTGTAACTGGCCTGTTGGTGTCTTTCTGTTGAGTAGTGATGACCAATGATTCAATCTGTAAAAGGGAAAACTTCATCAAACTTTAACTGTCATGCCATTGAATCTGAGAAATGTTTCAGTCAAAACATACAGTAAGTCACTATTAATGTATAGCCTATGATCCCAGTGCAGCAACTCCAGAGGGTATCTTCCACCACAGAAAATGTGCTGAAACCAATGGGATAGTCCCAAAAGTTCAAATTCTGCGCAACTAGCAACACAATACTTTTATTGAGTAAAATATATTTAAAACACTTAGTTCTATACCTCTAAAACCGATTGTCCTGTACGTATTCTGTCCCCCCAATCAAGCATATTCAGTATATGACATAGCTATATACTTTGGCCCAGTTGTGGTTCCAACTGCTCAGTCCCCCAGAACCACTAACAGGTTACAAAATAATCAGACAATGCATCAAATGATCGTATCTGGTGAAATTGAGAAAATAAATCGTACCAGTCTTTTAGAGTTATAAAAAAAGCATGAAAAATGTTATATTGGTGTGTTGTTAAAAGGAACTTAACAAAATGTACTGAGTGATATTGGAGTAAAGTGTCCTTGTGGGCCAGTAGCCTACATTGGGTGTACAATTTTCAATTACTGTAATATTTAATCTCCAGTTATTCTTCTTCTATTTATTCGTATACCAATAATATGTACATGTTCATATATCTACTGATTATAATTATTATGTATTTTAGCTAAATGAGATCTATTAGCTTCCAAAATGTTAGCTTGTTGGCATATGTGTCGTCATCAATATCCATGGTGCATTGTTAGATTTCCGCTTCTTGACTTACACTACCGTTCAAAAGTGTGGGGTCAATTAGAAATGTCCTTGTTTTCCATGAAAACATCCATGAAAAGTTGAGGGATGGGCCTGGAGAAATGTAGCCACTCTCAAATTCATAGACAAAGCCATGGATGCAAGGACTGATCATTCATGATATCAACATGATAGTTTTAACCGTGTTTTGAGGCTATACAGTGTTTGTTTACATTTACATTGTTTAAAAACATTGGAATAAAACAAGCTTTTATATGTTGGGTTCTGATCTAAGCTCATTAGGTATTTATAAGTTATGTTATTCTAGAATAAATAGGTATATATAATTTTTTTTAAACAGCATATTGCCCCTATGAAGCTATTTTTCTCAGTTTCGCTGTTTGCATAGTTACTGCTCTTTGCCTTTGTAGGGCAGTTATTGACCTCAGGTGGCTGCCCTTCCCTTGTCCCTAGTCTGCCTCCTTTCCCTCCTATCACCATTGAGACAGCTTCCTGACAACAATGGCACTGTACTTCGTTTAAACCTGTTCTGTCAGTTCATGTACTTAAAGATTAGAATGTTCCAATGTGGTTAGCCAAAAAGATGACAAGATTGTCATCCTGGATGATGACTGTGTGAACTATCTAACATATATGTCACGTTTCTGGTTCGTCCATAACTTCTTTCCTGCCTGTAAGAGGGTGCGTTTACATGATTTCATGGAAATGTTTCTTCAGTTAGGGTGTGTAATGCAAGTCAAGGTATCCTTGGATGATTGTTTTAAGATGGTCATACCAAGGATCATTTATCTATTTGATTTTGAAAGTCCTTCAAACTTTGCTTTCGTCAAGGAATACTCCATTACAGCCTTGCAGACATTTGGCATTCTAGTTGTCAATTTGTTGAGGTAATCTGAAGAGATTTCAGCCCATGCTTCCTGAAGCACCTCCCACAAGTTGGATTTGCATGATGGGCACTTCTTATGTACCATACAGTCATGCTGCTGCCCACAACAGCTCAATAGGTTTGAGATCCGGTGACTGTGCTGGCCACTCCATTATAGACAGAATACCAGCTGACTGCTTCTTCCCTAAATAGTTATTGCATAGTTTGGAGCTTTGGTTTGGGTCATTGTCCTGTTGTTGGAGGAAATTGGCTCCAATCAAGCGCCGTCCACAGGGTATGTCATGGCGTTGCAAAATGGAGTGATAGCCTTCCTTCATCAAGATCCCTTTTACCCTGTACCAATCTCCCACTTTACCACCACCAAAGCACCCCCAGATCATCACATTGCCTCCACCATGCTTGACAGATGGCATCAAGCACTCCTCCAGCATCTTTTCATTTGGTCTGCATCTCACAAATGTTCTTCTTTGTGATCCACACACCTCATACTTCAATTTGTCAGTCCATAACACCTTTTTCCAATCTTCCTCTGTCCAGTGTCTGTGTTTATTTGCCCATCTTAATCTTTTCTTTTCATTGGCCAGTCTGAGATATGGCTTTTTCTTTGCAACTCTGCCTATGTCAGCATCCCGGAGTTGCCTCTTCATTGTTGACGTTGAGACTGGTGTTTTGCGGGTACTATTTAATGAAGCTGCCAGTTGAGGACCTGTGAGGCATCTGTTTTTCAAACTAGACACTAATGTATTTGTCCTCTTGCCTCCCAGTCCTCTTTCTATTCTGGTTAGAGCCAGTTTGCGCTGTTCTGTGAAGGGAGTAGTACACAGCGTTGTACGAGATCTTCAGTTTCTTGCCAATTTCTCGCATGGAATAGCCTTCATTTCTCAGAACAAGAATAGACTGACGAGTTTCAGAAGACAGTTCTTTGTTTCTGGCCATTTTTATCCTGTAATCCAACCCACAATTGCTGACACTCCAGATACTCAAATAGTCTCAAGAATGCCAGTTTTATTGCTTCTTTAATCAGCACAACAGTTTTCAGCTGTGCTAACATAATTGCAAAAGGGTTTTCTAATGATCAATTAGAAAACCCTTTTGCAATTTCTAAGTGACCCCAATCTTTTGAACGGTAGTGTACATGTCGGTTGTTTTGCTCTTCGATGAACACAAGCCTCACAAGACTCGTCTGAACCCGCTACCAGTTTAATAAATCATGGAATTATTTTAGTGACAAAAAACTGCGTAAATATGGGTATAATAGATAAACAATAATTTCCTGAGCTTTCTTATGTCTCAGATATAGGACAGACAATTTAAAATATATTTCCTTTTTTATTTAATGTTTAACAATCTGGTTTGTTGTTCCATGTGTTTCTATGGGCTAATAGCAGTAAGGCCAAATTCAATTTTGATCAAATAATTTTTATAGATATATTTTTTTATAGACCTACAGGAGTCCTAAAATTCAAAATCAAATAGATAAATGATCCTTGGTATGACCATCTTAAAACAATCATCCAAGGATACCTTGACTTGCATTACACACCCTCACTGAAGAAACATTTTCCATGAAATCATGTAAATGCACCGTCCTACAAGCAGGAAAGAAGTTATGGACGAACCAGAAATGTGACATATCTGTTAGATAGTTCACACAGTCATCATCCAGGATGATTATCTTGTCATCTTTTTGGCTAACCACATTGGAACATTCTAATCTTTAAGTACATGAACTGACAGAACAGGATTAAGCAAAGTACAGTGTCATTGTTGTCAGGAAGCTGTCTCCATGGTGATAGGAGGGAAAGGAGGCAGACTAGGGACAAGGGAAGGGCAGCCACCTGAGGTCAATAACTGCCCTACAAAGGCAAAGAGCAGTAACTATGCAAACAGCGAAACTGAGAAAAATAGCTTCATAGGGGCAATATGCTGTTTAAAAAAAAATGATATATACCTATTTATTCTAGAATAACATAACTTATAAATACCTAATGAGCTTAGATCAGAACCCAACATATAAAAGCTTATTTTACTCCAATGTTTTTAAACAATGTAAATGTAAACAAACGCTGTATAGCCTCAAAACATGGTTAAAACTATCATTTTGATATAATTTTACATTTTAGTCATTTAGCAGACGCTCTTATCCAGAGCAACTTACAGTTAGTGAATACATATTTTTTTTATACTGGCCCCCCATGTGAATCGAACCCACAACCCTGGCGTTGCAAACGCCATGCTCTACCAACTGAGCTACATCCCTGCTGGCCATTCCCTCCCCTACCCTGGACGACGCTGGGCCAATTGTGCGCCGCCCCATAGGTCTCCCGGTCACGGCCAGCTACGACAGAGCCTGGATTCGAACAAGGATCTCTAGTGGCACAGCTAGCACTGCGATGCAGTGCCTTAGACCACTGCGCCACTCGGGAGAATGGTCAGTCCTTGAATCCATGTCTTTGTCTATGAATTTGAGAGTGGCTACATTTCTCCAGGCCCATCCCTCAACTTTGGCCCTTTTAAAGTGTTTTGGCTGTCCAGAAAAATATATTGTAGGTAGATAAGTGATAATGCACCTAGGGACTATTAGTAAATTTGTAGGCATATCAACCACGAACACATGACCTATGACCCCTAAAATGTTGATACTGCGCTCTGACTTTGTATGACCTTAAACAACTATATGGGTAATGCAAACGCAAAGTGCAGTATCTAAAATCTAAATGTGTTAAAGGGATAGTTCACCAAAATTACAAAATTACATTTTTGTTTCCTTACCCTGTAAACAGTCTACGGACATGGTGTGACAGCAATCAATGCTTTGGTTTTGTTTCCTGGCAACAGGGCCGGCGTTATGGGCGGGCCTTAGGAGGCCTGGCCCGCCCTACCGTACCTCCTTGCCCGTCCAAATAAAATATTGAAATGTTGATCATTTATTTGACCCAGTTGCGTGCCGACAGAAAGAAGCATCAATCTCAGATAAAGCGTCCAAGCCAGCAAAACAGCGCTCCTCTGTCTCAGTATGTGTAGACCGTGTATCTGATGCTGTCTGGACCAAAAGAGGATGGCATGTCATACCATTTCTGGCCAGACAACATTAGAGACTTGGGCTACACACTGTGTAGTAAGACAGAGGGGCGCTGTTTCGCTCGCTCGGATGCTTTCTCCGGTGAGATAGTTTCAGCAGAGAGGAAGAGGTGAAGCGAGAGGGCTCACTCTTGCCAAAATCTGTCCAGAGTTAACCCAATGCGTGTCTATGAGCATAATAAGCAGACCTAAGCTTGTAGCCTGCCCTCCTGCCTTTGGGACAACTAATCCCATTGTTAGGGCAGAGACATGAGCATCATGTCATTATATACAGATCTCTGGTTTCAGCCTCTTGCGAATTGGAAGGGAAAGTTGCCGGGTGCTCACTGTGCCAAAATTATATAATTACGGCAGCCTAAATAAAATCATTCAAAATACTTCACCAGAGAGCATGACTTCGCCACAGACTATCATTAGCTTATTTTTAAAAAAATGTTTTGCTGTGGATTGTTACAAATCACAAGCGCCTAGGCCAAGGCCTATTTGGGAAGCCCGCAATTTGGGAAGCGTGTGTGGCAATAGGACTACCTTATTGAGTTGCGCCTGTCAGTGCAAAGCATAAAAAATATGTGTGAAGATAATGTTTCTTGAGTATAATTGAAAATGTTGCAACAAGAAGAAGGGGAGGGGTTTGTGGGGGAGATATGGCATGTCTCTCTCCAGAATGCACTTCAGCAGCTTTCCAGAATGCACTCAGCTGTCTCCCGACAATTCTTGAGCATTCATTGTTTAATTGTGTGAATTGTTTGCCCTTTTTTATTTTTTATCAATTCCCCATTACGTATGTCACCAGTAGGCGTAGTAAATACACCGTTAATACCCTGTCATTTGGTTACAATAATTTATGTTAATGCATGTATTCATTACAGTAATTTAGCGTACCGTTCTCATTCTCGGAGTGGAAATATTATAATAATAAATAATAATATGCCATTTAGCAGACGCTTTTATCCAAAGCGACTTACAGTCATGCGTGCATACATTTCTTTTGTGTATGGGTGGTCCCGGGGATCAAACCCACTACATTTGAGTTACAAGCGCCGTGCTCTACCAGCTGAGCTGCAGAGCTCACAAAATGTTTGCACTCTGCCTTTGTATGCCTTTGAATGACCTTAAACAACTCTATGGGTAAACGCAAAATGCAGGATCTGAAATCTAAATGTGTTAATCCAACTTTCTTGTTGTTTTTCAGTTTTATGGAAACAGTTTGAGTGTTCTAACTACATTATAGATGTATTTAATGGCTTTATGGTTTTATGAACCTTGTCTGGTAGCAAAACAGTTCATTCAGCCTAATTAATTTCCTTTTTAGGTTGAGGCACAGTTTACTTGTCACGGATTCTGCCGAGGCTGCTCCTCCTCCTTGCTCGGGCAGGCTTCGGCGTTCGCCGTCCCCGGAGTACTAGCTGCCACCGTTAGATGTTTCGATGTTTGATTGCTTTTGTCTGTCTATTGCACCTGTGTCCGTTTGTGTCTGATTATGTGTCCTATAAGTTGCCTGTCTTGTGTTGGTTAGTTTGTGTGTTGTTATTCGCCTGTCCGTTAGTGCTGCGTGTTTTCTCTGTTTGTTTTTTTGTAGTTTACGCACAGTTTGCGTAATCGCTCGCCTCTGTTTTATGTTGAGGCCGTTGATTGTATTTTGCCTTGTGTTGCACTAGTAAACTTTGTTGGACTAAGCTTCGGTGTCCTGCGGCTGACTCCCACACCACATTAACCTCAGCCCTTGACATTACTGCTGTTAGGTTCAGACAAACAGAGTGAAAAACTAACGGACAACTAGTCAAAGCTCAAACCATGTTTATTCACACACTGGGTCAATCAGCTGAAAAGACAATGACAAGTTCCCACCAGCACAAGTATTTATACCCTCCTTTTAGGCGGAGTCTCTTCCTTTCACATCTAGGCAGCCAATACATCTCTGTTGCTAGGCAGGAACTGAAGTGATGTGTGTGTAGAACTGTTCCTTGTCACTTCATCTGACCTCGGCCCACATTCCTCACTCCTCCCTAATCCACGGCTATCCAACCTTATCAGCGACCGCAACCAAGCCTTTTCCCTCACTTAGTAACTTTCCAGACCCATAATTCCTATCCACCCTCCATACATTTCCTATACATTAACTTCTAGTATAGCAATTATTTCAAGTTAGAATCCAATACTACACAACATACACATAGCATTACTTTCTTAGCTACAGTATACATATCTTCGTGGAATATTACATCATTTATGCAGCAGCCTACAATAAATTTTTGGACTCACTTTGTTGTGCTGTGCTCACTTGAACAGGAAGGTGGCGCGGCGGTCCTTCCTGTGGGAAAATGTGGGATTTATGGTAGATTTATGGTGCGTTCAAGACAACTGGGAACTCTGAATAAAAACAAGGTTGATTCATGACGTCAGTGAGCTTTAGGTCGGAGTTCTAGAAAGAGGCCGGAATTCCAAGTTGGATGACCGTTCAAAACGTATTTTCCAAGTCGGAGGTCATTTTTTGTTTTTGTTGAGTTCGCAGTTGTCTTAAACTCACTCAAGTCTGAGATTTCCCAGTTCCGAGTTTCCAGTTGTTTTGAACTCGGCAAAAGTAATGCTGGATTGACAGCATGGCCAATTTATTCAACCTTTTCTGGCCCATGGTGTTGCATGTGAATGTTTATCCTTTTAAGCTTTGAAAAGAGACCCTTAAATCCAGACTTGGACGACAAATCCACTACACTGAATAGCAGGCTAGTGATTGCTTTGCAATGTTTGCAGTTAGCCACTGATTCCTTCCAAACCACTCATTGTTGAATTTGCGATTTCCAACTTGTTGTGTAATATTTATGTCCAATGGCCGATGAGCACCGATACATTTTATCTATAATTTATCTTCAAATGACAAGGATTTGCCACTAGATTGTCAACTTGACTCATGATGATGACTGCTTGTCTAGCTTGCTAGCTAAGATTTTGAAAGTATGATGTTGACAAGATCAGTCATTTTATCTGTGGCCAATGACCTTGAGCCTTCTTGGATGGGCACTTCTAACGTAAATCTAGGGCAGCACCCAAGGGCCTTGAATTTTCGAGCTCTCCCCGTAGATTTTGCGGTGAAGTTTTGTCCCATAAGTGACAGAACACTGAGCCAATTACGACGCAACTAGAGAACATTACCAACCCCTTCGCTCTGTATTATCCGCTGGCTGCCCCACCACCACAGAAAGCACTGAGCTAGGCTGAAACACCTGCATTTTGGAGCTAACTTACTCAAGAAAGCAAAAAAGAGACCATGTTTGTATGTGGCTTTATTAACACAATGTTGTTTTTTACATTGTTTGCAAACTGATATGTGACACGTATGAATGCCAAAATTACAAACAAACAAAAAACGATATATATATATATATACATTACCGGTCAAACGTTTTAGAACACCTACTCAAGTGTTTTTCTTTATTTTTACTATTTTCTACATTGTAGAATGATAGTGAAGACATCAAAACTATGAAATAACACATATGGAATCATGTAGGAACCAAAAAAGTGTTAAACAAATCAAAATATATTTTATATTTGAGATTCTTCAAATAGCCACCCTTTGCCTTGATGACAGCTTTGCACACTCTTGACATTCTCTCAACCAGCTTCATGAGGTAGTCACCTGGAATGCATTTCAATTAACAGGTGTGCCTTCTTAAAAGTTAATTTGTGGAATTTCTTTCCTTCTTAATGCATTTGAGCCAATCAGTTGTGACAAGGTAGGGGGGGTATACAGAAGATAGCCCTATTTGGTAAAAGTCCAAGTACATATTATGGCAAGAACAGCTCAAATAAGCAAAGAGAAATGACAGTCCATCATTACTTTGAGACAAGAAGGTCAGTCAATACGGAAAATGTCAAGAACTTTGAAAAACCATCAAGCACTATGATGAATGGCTATCATGCGGACCACCACAGGAATGGAAGACCCAGAGTTCATTAGTGTTACCAGCCTCAGAAATTACAGCCCAAATATATGCTTCACAGAGTTCAAGTAACAGACACATGTCAACATCAACTGTTCAGGGGAGACTGTGTGAATCAGGCCTTCATGGTCGAATTGCTGCAAAGAAACCACTACTATGGACACCAATAATAATAAGAGACTTGCTTAGGCCAAGAAACAAGAGCAATGGACATTTGACCGGTGGAAAATGTGTCCTTTGTTCTGGAGTCCAAATTGGAGATTTTTGTTTCCAACCGCCATGTCTTTGTGAGAGGCGGTGTGGGTGAATGGATGATCTCCGCATTTGTATTTCCCACCATATAGCATGGAGGAGGAGATGTTATGGTGTGGGGGTGCTTTGCTGGTGACACTGTCTATGATTTATTTAGCATTCAAGGCACACTTAACCAGCATGGTTACTACAGCATTCTGCAGCAATACACCATCCCATCTGGTTTGGGCTTAGTGGGACTATCATTTGTTTTTTAACAGGACAATGACCCAACACACCTCCAGGCTGTGTAAAGGCTATTTGACCAAGAAGGAGAGTGATGGAGTGCTACATCAGATGACCTGGTCTCCACAATCCCCAGACCTCAACCAAATTGAGATGGTTTGGGATGAGTCGGACCGCAGAGTGAAGGAAAAGCAGCCAACAAGTGCTCAGCATATGTGGAAACTCCTTCAAGACTGTTGGAAAAGCATTCACGTTGAAGCTGGTTGAAAGAATGCCAAGAGTGTGCAAAGCTGTCATCAAGGCAAAGGGTGGCTATTTGAAGAATCTCAAATATAAAATATATTTTGATTTGTTTAACACGTTTTTGGTTACTACATGATTCCATATGTGTTATTTCACAGTTGTGATGTCTTCACTATTATTCTACAATTTAGAGAATAGTAAAAATAAAGAAAAACCCAAGAATTAGTAGGTGTTCTAAAACTTTTGACCGTTATTGTATGTTAAATTCATCTGTATGTTACATTGTCCGTTTGTAAAATGAGTTAGAGAGTTTTGTTAACCTTTGACCGATAAAGACTGTTTCAGCATTTCTGTCTCCTTCTGTAGCTGGTCTCTCTCTTTCATCAGGGTGTTATAACTCGTCCGTAGCTGGTGTCTCTCTTTAGTCAGGGTGTTATAACTAGTCTGTAGCTGGTGTCTCTCTTTAGTCAAAAGGTTGTAACTGGCCTGTTGGTGTTTTTCTGTTGAGTAGTGATGACCAATGATTCAATCTGTAAAAGGGACAACTTCATCAAACTTTAACTGTCATGCCATTGAATCTGAGAAATGGTTTCAGTCAAAACATACAGTAAGTTACTATTAATGTATAGCCTATGATCCCAGTGCAGCAACCCCAGAGGGTATCTTCCACCACAGAAAATGTGCTGAAACCAATGGCATAGTCCCAAAAGTTCAAACTCTGCGCAACTAGCAACACAATACTTTTATTGAGTAAAATATATTTAAAACACTTAGTTCTATACCTCTAAAACAGATTGTCCTGTACGTATTCTGTCCCCCCAATCAAGCATATTCAGTATATGACATAGCTATATACTTTGGCCCAGTTGTGGTTCCAACTGCTCAGTCCCCCAGAACCACTAACAGGTTACAAAATAATCAGACAATGCATCAAATGATCGTATCTGGTGAAATTGAGAAAATAAATCGTACCAGTCTTTTAGAGTTGAAAAAAAAGCATAAAAAAATGTTATATTGGTGTGTTTTTAAAAGGAAAGTAACAAAATCTACTGAGTGATAGTGGAGTAAAGTGTCCTTGTGGGCCAGTAGCCTACATTGGGTGTACAATTTTCACTTACTGTAATATTTAATCTCCAGTTATTCTTCTTCTATTTATTCTGTTACCAATAATATTTACATGTTAACATTATCTTCTGATTATAATTATTATGTATTTTAGCTAAATGAGATCTATTAGCTTCCAAAATGTTAGCTTGTTGGCATTTATGTCGTCATCAATATCCATGGTGCATTGTTAGATTTCCTTTTCTTGACTTACACTACCGTTCAACAGTTTGGGGTCAATTAGAAATGTCCTTTTTTTCCATGAAAACATACATGAAATGAGTTTGAATAGGAAATATAGCAAAATGAATAGGAAATGTAGTCATTGACAAGGTTAGAAATAATGATTTCTAATTTAAATAATACTTGTGTCCTTCAAACTTTGCTTTCGTCAAAGAATCCTCCATTTGCATCAATTACAGCCTTGCAGACCTTTGACATTGTAGTTGTCAATTTGTTGAGGTAATCTGAAGAGATTTCAGCCCATGCTTCCTGAAGCACCTCCCACAAGTTGGATTGGCTTGATGGGCACTTCTTACATTTACATTACATGTACGTCATTAAGCAGACGCTCTTATCCAGAGTGGTTATCCACTGGTGTAGCCTGGTGTAGCCAGTGGGATAACCACTTTACAATATGTTATTTATTTTAAAAAATGTTGGGGGTGGGGTGGGGTAAGGGGGGGTAGAAGGATTACTTTATCTTATCCCAGGTATTCTTTAAAGAAGTGGGGTTTCAAGTGTCTCCGGAAGGTGGTGAGTGACTCCGCTGTCCTGGCGTTGTGAGTGAGCTTGTTCCACCATTGGGGTGCCAGAGCAGCAAACAGTTTTGACTGGGCTGAGCGGGAACTGTGCTTCCGCAGAGGTAGGGGGGCCAGCAGGCCAGAGGTGGATGAACGCAATGCCCTCATTTGGGTGTAGGGACTGGTCAGAGCCTGAAGGTACGGAGGTGCCGTTCCATGGTCTTGTAGCAGATGCGAGCTTCAACTGGAAGCCAGTGGAGTGTGCGGCGGAGCGGGGTGACGTGAGAGAACCTGGGAAGGTTGAACACCAGACGGGCTGAGGCATTCTGGATGAGTTGTAGGGGTTTAATGGCACAGGCAGGGAGCCCAGCCAACAGCGAGTTGCAGTAATCCAGACGGGAGATGACAAGTGCCTGGATTAGGACCTGTGCCGCTTCCTGTGTAAGGCAGGGTCGTACTCTCCGAATGTTGTAGAGCATGAACCTACAGGATCGGGCACCGCCTTGATGTTAGCGGAGAATGACAGGGTGTTGTCCAGGGTCACGCCAAGGCTCTTCGCATTCTGGGAGGAGGACACAATGGAGTTGTCAACCGTGATGGCGAGATCATGGAACGGGCAGTGCTTCCCCGGGAGGAAGAGCAGCTATGTCTTGCCGAGGTTCAGCTTGAGGTGGTGATCTGTCATCCACACTGATATGTCTGCCAGACATGCAGAGATGCGATTCGCCACCTGGTTATCAGAAGGGGGAAAGGAAAATATTAGTTGTGTGTCGTCTGCGTAGCAATGATAGGAGAGGCCATGTGAGGATATGACAGAGCCAAGTGACTTGTTGTATAGCGAGAATAGGAGAGGGCCTAGAACTGAGCCCTGGGGGACACCAGTGGTGAGAGCACGTGGTGCGGAGACAGATTCTCGCCACGCCACTTGGTAGGAGCGACCGGTCAGGTAGGACGCAATCCAAGAGTGAGCCGCGCCGGAGATGCCCAGCTCGGAGAGGGTGGAGAGGAGGATCTGATGTTTCACAGTATCAAAGGCAGCAGACAGGTCTAGAAGGACAAGAGCAGAGGAGAGAGAGTTAGCTTTAGCAGTGTGGAGAGCCTCCGTGACACAGAGAAGAGCAGTCTCAGTTGAATGACCAGTCTTGAAACCTGACTGGTTTGGATCAAGAAGGTAATTCTGAGAGAGATAGCAAGAGAGTTGGCTAAAGACGGCACGCTCAAGAGTTTTGGAGAGAAAAGAAAGAAGGGATACTGGTCTGTAGTTGTTGACATCAGAGGGATCGAGTGTTGGTTTTTTGAGAAGGGGTGCAACTCTCGCTCTCTTGAAGACGGAAGGGACATAGCCAGCGGTCAAGGATGAGTTGATCAGTGAGGTGAGGTAGGGGAGAAGGTCACCGGAGATGGAGAGTGTGAGCCGGACCAGCAGTGTCATTTGACTTAACAAACGAGGATCGGATGTCGTCAACCTTCTTTTCAAAATGGTTGACGAAGTCATCCACAGAGAGGGAGGAGGGGGGGGGGGGATTCAGCAGGGAGGAGAAGGTGGCAAAGAGCTTCCTAGGGTTAGAGGCAGATGCTTGGAATTTAGAGTGGTAGAAAGTGGCTTTAGCTGCAGAAACAGATGAAGAAAATGTAGAGAGGAGGGAGTGAAAAGATGCCAGGTCCGCAGGGAGTCTAGTTTTCCTCCATTTCCGCTCGGCTGCCCGGAGCCCTGTTCTGTGAGCTCGCAATGAGTCATCAAGCCACGGAGCAGGAGGGGAGGATCAAGCCAGCCGGGAGTATAGGGGACATAGAGAGTCAAAGGATGCAGAAAGGGAGGAGAGGAGGGTTGAGGAGGCAGAATCAGGAGATTGGAGGGTGAAGGATTGAGCAGAGGGAAGAGATGATAGGATGGAAGAGGAGAGAGTAGCGGGAGAGAGAGAGCGAAGGTTGCGACGGCGCATTACTATCTGAGTAGGGGCAGAGTGAGTAGTGTTGGAGGAGAGCGAGAGAGAAAAGGATACAAAGTAGTGGTCGGAGACATGGAGCGGAGTTGCAGTGAGATTAGTAGAAGAACAGCATCTAGTAAAGATGAGGTCAAGCGTATTGCCTGCCTTGTGAGTAGGGGGGGACGGTGAGAGGGTGAGGTCAAAAGAGGAGAGGAGTGGAAAGGAGGCAGAGGGAAATGAGTCAAAGGTAGACGTAGGGAGGTTGAAGTCACCCAGAACTGTGAGGGGTGAGCCATCCTCAGGAAAGGAACTTATCAAGGCGTCAAGCTCATTGATGAACTCTCCAAGGGAACCTGGAGGGCGATAAATGACAAGGATGTTAAGCTTGAATGGGCTAGTGACTGTGACAGCATGGAATTCAAATGAGGAGATAGACAGATGGGTCAGGGGAAAAAGAGAGAATGTCCACTTGGGAGAGATGAGGATTCCTGTGCCACCACCCCGCTGACCAGATGCTCTCGGGGTATGCGAGGAGAGAGCAGTAGGAGTAGCAGTGTTTTCAGTGGTAATCCATGTTTCCGTCAGCGCCAAGAAGTCGAGGGACTGGAGGGTACATAGGCTGAGATGAACTCTGCCTTGTTGGCAGCAGAACGGCAGTTCCAGAGGCTGCCTGAGACCTGGAACTCCACGTGGGAGGTGCGTGCAGGGACCACCAGGTTAGAGAGGCAGCAGCCACGCGGTGTGAGGCGTTTGTATAGCCTGTGCGGAGAGGAGAGAACAGGGATAGACAGAGGCATAGTTGACAGGCTACAGAAAAGGGCTACAATAATGCAAAGGAGATCGGAATGAAATGAACTAAACATCTGGGAAAGGAGAGAGTGGGGCCTCCATCACTTACGTTTCACTGAAACACACAAATATAACTCTCCCAACTTCCACCTCATAAACTATAATTGTTGTAAACTACAGTGGTTCAATGTTTTCTAGGAATAGACTAACTTAGTTTATTCAGCTAGCTAACCTGGTACAGTATTCTTCCGTGGAAATCATCCAGGGCACCTAGTCATATGACGCCACAGCCAACTAGCATGCCGGACTCCAACAACACGGTTTAGCACCAATACTCGGCCACAACAAACTACCAGTGTGTCAACACGCCAAGCAGATCATTAGTGTCCGTGTCTAACGTTGTGGGTTAGTCACAACAGCTTGAGCGAGTCCGTCGTCAACTTATTCAGCCGGTTAGTTAGCTAGAATAGTTAGCATACTAGCTAGCCATTGCTCTCAGACAAAGAAGAGACCCCTCCTCCCACGGTACGAACACACAGAGAGAGCCAAGCTAACATTAACTAGTCACCCATGTCCCGAATTCCCTTGAACGACTCTGGCTACCAGTATGTAAAAACAAAACACAAATGTAGGTTATAACTTACCCCTAGCAGCTACTGTTAGCTAGCCAAGTGCAAAGCTAGCCACTGAATTGACTCAGCCAGTTCGCGTCTGTTCGCTAGGTCGTTCCAGCTATTGTTTACTTGTAACAATCCAGGTAGCAACAAGCTAGCTAAATTTCAAGCAAAGTAGCCACTTACTACCTAACGTTAACGCTTCAGACAATGAGGTTAGAAAAACAGCTGAATGGTAGGCATTATTGTATGTAATTATTGTAGGCAGCCAGCTGGCGTAATTACAGGTACTCTCAGGCATGAAACAACTATCCACAGTT